AGAAAAAAACAGCGTTTATCTCGTTCGTTTATCACAGAAATTGCAGAAATAGGAGCAAATTTAGTAGATGATTACAGTTTTTATGGCTTTATAATCGCGGGTATTTAAATTAATTCCGTACCGCTGCCCTTACGGGAATTTAAATGCCCGTAGGATAAAGGTTAAATTATGGTGTTTGTATAAATTAGTGTTGATATTCACTTATTGCAAATACAATTACAATGAGTAATAGATGTTTACTACATAATATAATTACAGAAATTGATGAACTCTGTAATTCTGAATGTAATATTTAAATTATGGTGTTTGTATAAATTAGTGTTGATATTCACTTATTGAAAATACCTGCTGTAGAAAAGCTAAACGCACAGCAAGATATAGAACTTGAATTATTTTTCCGTTTATTTCATGGAGTATACGAGGGGGGACCCAAAAATAACCGGAAACGACCTGTTGTGCGCGCATGCTTTGTAGTTACGAGTTGTGCTGCTAGGTGGTGTTAGCTGGGGGTCTCCCGCGACTGTTAGTGAGCTGGCGTCAGTCTGAGTTAAGTGGTTTGTCTGTTGTGCTCTGTTGTGTGCGTTCCTGTTTCAACCCTTTGGCGATTAGTGAGATGGCTGACCAGAAGGAACAAAGAGTGTGCGTGAAATTGATGAAGATCGTCGAAAGACCATTGACCAACTTTCTGAGGAAACGAACATCTCATGGAGCACGGTCCAGCGAATTTTAACCGAAGGTTTGCACATGAGACGGGTGTCTGCAAAATTTGTTCCTCGCTTGCTCGGAGATGACCAAAGAGAAAACCGCGTGAATGTTTGCCGCGACTTGAAGAGTGAAGTGCAGTTTTCCCTAACAGAAAGCAAAATTTCACGCACACTCTTTGTTCCTTCTGGTCGGCCATCTCACTAATCGCCAAAGGGTTGAAACAGGAACGCACACAACAGAGCACCACAGACAAACCACTTAACTCAGACTGATGCCAGCTCACTAACAGTCGCGGGAGACCCCCAGCTAACACCACCTAGCAGCACAACTCGTAACTACAAAGCATGCGCGCAACATGTCGTTTCCGGTTATTTTTGGGTCCCCCTTCGTATACCTTGTGAAAAATATTTCAAGTAAAGATTGAATATCTTAATGAGATCTGTATTTCATATTGTCTGTTATATGAACCAAAAGTTAATTTGTGTGGAAAAGTGTGGACCACAATACAGATGCCACTGAACTCATCAAGAAATATCAAAGATGAATTGTGGCGGGGCAGACAGACATGATCTTCCCGCTGTGCATTCATTTTTGTTCTTTAGTCCCAGAATGCACAAATAAAGTTATCCTACACTTGGCAATAGGGGAACCCTTTGTGTGCTATAATGGCATCATACCTGTTTCGCCTTTCTCATTATAACCCCATGGAGAAGCCAGTAGTTGCATAGATTGTCACTGGATAATTCCATGCTGTAGAAGGGAATATATTTTGCCATTATGGTGTTTGTGCAACAGAAATATTTAATGTACAGATAAATCTGTGTATTATGAAGATAAGGACTTGTGGGAACTGCCCACATTCAAGCAAGTGTGACAACGCAAGCATCATTGCTTAGCAACAACGAGTAAACAACGGTTGCTAGGCAAAAGCGAGTAAACAGCGGTTGCTAGGGAACTTGTACACACGGTATCTGGCAACAGCAGTACCTAGTACGTAACCGTGTATATGTCCGACTCCAGGCTACATAAGGAAACGGTTACGTACTAGGTACTGCTGTTGCCAGATACCGTGTTTACAAGTTCCCTAGCAACCGCTGTTTACTCGCTTTTGCCTAGCAACCGTTGTTTACTCATTGTTGCTAAGCAATGACGCTTGCGTTGTCACACTTGCTTGAATGTGGGCAGTTCCCACATCCTCATTAGAATTACAACAGTGAGAATGGGGTTGCTGCATTTGCTCTTAAGAAACTGTAATGAAGAACAGTAATAGCTACCAGCAAGACAAGAAATTATCTCACTTTTATGGAATCTGAATGTTCTTTGGTCTTCATCCTGAATCAGATCAATCTGATCCACACTATAATAAATATCGCACTACTTTCCCATCTGTGCCTTGTTTCGCTTACACCCATGTTCAGATTATTCAAGTTTGGCACTCTGGCATTTGACATATCCCTATTTTTCTTGCAAGCTGCTTAACAAGTCATGTTGTTAAACCTTTATCGTTAATTTCAGTAATGTTTCTCATAAAAGAATTGAATATATATATTATTTATAGGTGTGGAAGAGGCAGATTTGGTTTTATTGGTTGGATCAAACCCAAGATTTGAAGCTCCACTTTTGAACTCTCGAATTCGCAAGTCGTATCTTCACAATGATTTAGAAATTGCTGTTGTTGGACCCAAAGTGAATCTCACATATGACTATGAAGTGAGTAATTAAGTTAATGTTTCCATGTTCACATGCTTAACAATTTGCCAGATGGAAGCAGAATCCCAGAACAGATATGAACTTCAAGTAGAACTACATTCCCATACCGCCTCATACACTGTTGTACTGGATACACAAGATATTAGTGTGTAGTAGTGGCCATGTAATGTGGTTCTTCAGGTCTACTGAAAGCATACAATGTTGCTGCATTATAGTTTGTATTTTGCAGTACTGACTGATGTATAAAGTGTGAAGTAATATCAGAGTTGTATTTAATACCCTGTGCCCCTTGAATAGGTCATAAACCTCAGTTTTTAAAAATAAAAATATGTGAACTTATTGAAATGTACAGGGTTATTCAAAAAGAATGAACCGATTTTATTACCCAATATTTTATTAAAGGAAAGTAATACAAAATTCCAGCCAAGTCACAAGTATTCTACTCACAATCAACTTTCATTTCCTGTCTTACAAGTGTTCAATGTGGCCACCACCTGCAGCACGGGCAACATCAGTGCGATAAGAGAATTCCTCCCAGGTGCATATCAGCATATCACGATGCACTGAGTTAATCGCTGTTGTTATTCAATGTTTAAGGTCATTGAGGTTAGTGGGTAGCGCTGGAACGTAAACGTGATCTTTTACATATCCCCACAAGAAGAAATCACACACAGTGAGGTCTGGGGATCTCGCAGGCCAAGCACAAAGAGCACGGTCTTGGGCCTCCTTCTGACCAATCCATCGCTGGGGCACTTTTTCATTTATAAAAGCTCGGACCATCAGGTGCCACTGGGGCAGTGCTCCATCTTGTTGAAAAATGAAGTCATGCGAATCTGCTTGCAGTGAAGTGAAGAGCCAGTTTTGGAGCATATCGAGATAGGTTTGTCCTGTAACTGTGTTTCCTTCAAAGAAAAAGGGACCATAAACCTTGTCCTGAGACACAACACAGAAGACATTCACCTTAGGAGAATCTCTTTCATGCTCAACTGTTTCATGTGGGTGCTCTGTTCCCCAAATACACACATTGTGACGATTGACTGTGCTGCTCAAGTGAAAAGTCACTTCATCACTAAAAATAAACATGAAATGAAGGTTTCGTCTTCCATCATCTCCAGCATCGAATTGCAAAATTCCATCCGCTTCCTTTTGTCATCATTGTTAAGTGCCTGAACGAGCTGCGTTCTGTATGGTTTCAAATGTAGACGTACTGTTAGTACACACCAGACAGTGGATTGAGGGATAGCAAGCTCACGGCTAGCTCGATTTGTTGATTTCCGCGGGCTCCTCTCAAATGCAGCATGGATTCTCGCCACTTGTTCCTTCGAGACTCTTGGTCGTCCTGGACTTTTTCCTATACACAGACACCCACTCTCTTGAAACTGTTGAAACTACCGTCGAATGTTCTTAGGACAGGGCGATTTAATGCTGAATCGCCTTCAAAAAGCGCGCTGCACCGTGACATCCGAATTTGTTTTCGCGAACTCAAGAATGCAGAACGCCTTTTGGTGAGGACTCGCCATTCCAAGGGTAAATGAACAACTGAATGTTGCCGGAAGAACAACACAACTTCAGCGCCCCTGTGGCAGCCATTCACAACTTAGATAACTCCTCTTTCAAACGGTCTCTGACTCATTCCATGACGATGCTTGAGAACTGAAGCAATGCGTCATGAAATCGGTTCATTCTTTTTGAATAACCCTGTATAATTCAAATTTGATTGTGTGTAATATGTATTGCCTCAAAATTTGAATGTGATATTCTTCGAGTATTTCTTTTAGAACCTGATATATTGTAGCATCAGATGTGATGTCACAGGAAGACACTACCTTCCCTCCACTTCAATACAAGGAAATTATTTCTTGCAAAAATAAAATCCACCATTGATACTATAAACCCAATTAGCATCTTCCACTTATTCACAAAACTTCTCTCCTTCATATATATCATATTTTCTACAAGCTGTGAGATATACTTTTCATTCTATCTCATGAATTATTCTCAGTTCTTCACTAGCCACTGAATAGCATAAATGTATGCAGTTGATCCTTATATTTAACTGAACACGTGCACTGCATCACAGATTAACATCCACGTCTACACTGTAAACTGGACCTTCGTGTGGGAATGCAAAATGAGCAGGAAACCAGAATAAGTAGTGTTGCCAGCATCATAACAGTTAAGAAAATTACTGTGTTTTGAGATGTGACACTATGTAGTCTGATAGGTAGATACAAATGTTTCAGGGGAACATGCTGTTTCCATCTATATTGTACCATAAACTTTGGTAACTGCCTACCAGAATACACACAGTTGTGTCCCAGAAGACAGTAATCTTCATAGTTGTAAGAACGTCAAATTGTACATCATATTGAATAAGTAGTGCACCATTGCCAGTCCCATCACAAATAAACACCCAAATTTCTATAAAAAAAGAAAGTGCATACTGTTTGGAGAATACTGTAATATGGGTTCATTATACCAACTGATTACAGTATGTAATCCTGCATTCGTTACCAATGAAGGCTGGGAAATCTGCCATGAACTAACAGTCCTGACATAGTATTATTATCTCTGACTAGGGTTCTATTTCAGTTTGTTAAACACTATGTACTTTGTTGTGTCTCTCTCACTGTTGCATATTTTCTCATCTGTGAATAATTCAAAGTAACAAGTTTTTTCGTTGATTTCTAGCACCTTGGTGACAGCACTAGCATACTAGAACAGTTGGCTAAAGGTACTCATACTTTTTCGAAAAAATGGACTGCTGCAAAACGTCCTATGCTAGTGTTGGGATCTGATCAATTGCAGAGACCAGATGGAGCAGCCATCTTATCTTTGGTTCAGAAAATTGCTGCTTCTAAAGCTGGGGTAAGTTGTATTAGATCTTGATAAGTAAACTCCATTGCTACATACTGTCTCTCAAATAAGAGGGACTAACTTGTTTTTGTTTCACATATTATTAAGTGGTTTGTTGTGCTACTTGGTTCTGTTATAGAGTGATGGGTGGAAAGTATTGAATATTCTTCATCGGGTAGCATCGCAAGTAGCTGCGCTGGATCTGGGTTATAAGTTGGGAGTTGCTGACATAAGAAACTCCCCACCTAAAGTGTTGTATCTGCTGGGTGCTGATGAAGGAACCATTACACGAGCTGACCTGCCCAAAGATGCCTTTATTATATACCAAGGTATTCCTGGATATCATGTGTGTACATATGTTATTCCCTTTGTTTTAGACATGATTGTATGTTGCATTTGACACTGGAATGGTGCCTTAATTAGAATGGATATTTAGTGCAAGGAGGCACGTAAGTCTCACCATACACGTAGAAGGAGGTATGAAATTATTACTATTTGTTGCAATCATGAAACTGTGTAATAGGCTTAGAGCAGATAAAGCAGTTTCAGTGTAATGAAATGTGTGCCCTTGGTGAAACAAGCCAGTTTCAGAGTACTACATGTACACGCTTACAGATGTGATTGGGTTCGCTAAAAAATAAGTGGTTTCACTCACTTCACCTCATTAGATCCAAAATATTTTATTGGCCACTATATTTCCAGTTTTTCTGAAGTTTCTTTAGGGACTTAATGAGCAAGGTGATTGGCTGTGGGCAGGATAACTGGTTGAATTCTTGACAGAAGCAGAGGTTTTCTTCATCAAGTGCAGACCAACTCTTGAACATCTTCATGTATGGGCTTAGTCCCTGGGATAAAGTTGCCAGAATATGAAGCCCGTCTTTGTCTTATGGCAAGGTCTAAAATGCGTGGGTCTTTGCTCTCACATTCCTGTGTGACTGCATTGTGGACGCTTAGACGTAGGAAACTATATATTTTCAACCTGCTCCCCTTATTTTGAAAAAAATAAAATGAGGCTTATGAAATCATGTTGCTGTCTGTATATCCTCCCAAAATTGTTTAGGATTGAGGATTATGAGATCACTTTGCTGTCTGTGATCCCCCATAATTTTTTTTTCTATGCTGTCCATATTGTATCAAAAGAAAGTAGGCAATTAGGTTTTCCAAATTCTTGTTTACCTTTACCTTTTACTTTATGTTCGTTCTGAACAAGAATACGCCTTTCACAAACATTCAAAACAGAACAGATAAAATTCTACAATTTTACTTTATATATCTTATTTTTAGTGGTTTGAAAGCCTGGTAACAGTTTTTTTAACTGAATCAGTCAAAACCATTTCTATGTACTAGGACATCATGGTGACACTGGAGCTTCAATAGCAGATGCTGTGCTCCCAGGAGCAGCATATACTGAGAAGCAGGCCTCATATGTGAACACAGAAGGGAGGGCCCAGCAGACACTGGTGGCAGTCACACCCCCAGGACTTGCCAGAGAAGACTGGAAAATAATCAGAGCACTTTCAGAGGTATACATATCATTCCTGATAACTGACTGCATTTCAGCTTAGGCTAATTCTTCTTTATATCTGAGTAAGAATTGTATTAATCTTTACTCACTACGTTACAACCCGGCTATGAAATGACCTTGGATGTGAGATTAACCCCTTCTCCAGTGACAGATTTATGGAATATGTAATTTTATTACTTACTCAGATGGAGTTCTTGGGTATAGTTCTGCTTCACAAACTAAGCTCTCTTTTACTGTTTGCTGTCATTGCAGCGGGCAGGACTTTTTGGAGTATCCCTTCAACATTCACATCAGTGTGCCATTCCTTGCCAAGCTCAGTCAGATTCATGCATCTTCTGTCATTGTCCCGGCTCTGGCAACTATGTGGGATATTTGTGTAGGGGCAAAATGATTTGTCTTTGTGATTGGGGTTGGCTGTTTGGAGTTGAAGGTAGACCGAGGTAGAGCTATTGAGATCTCAGATCCACAGTATAGTTGAGAAGGTGAGGTTTTATGGGGAGATAAATTTGAAGCATTTGAACTGAAGCTGGGGCAGGGCAACTGCTTCCTTTGTAATAACATTTTCACTGCTGTTAGAAAGATTACAACAAATTTTAGTAAATGGACACATGCAATACTCATATCACAACAATGATTCTATCTTTGATCAGTAGCATATGCATAAAATTAATTATGCACAGAGCAGTTAACCTAATGAGTTCTTAGCAATTCATAACTGCTAGAGACTTTACATTTACGTGAGGCAGTTGCCCTCACAATAATATCCCATGAATTTTACATCCACATAAGACAGCTGCTTTAACCAGGTGACTTGAACTTCACATTTTTATTCTGCACCTGCTGCTGTAAGAGTAACCAAGAGTTACTTTACACTTTCATCTTGTCCTTGTAGACACTTAAAATTGAAAATTCTGAGTAATTTTGACAATGTTTCCCACTGGACTTTGGGTCCCATAACATTGTATAAGATTAAGTTTAATTGACGTGATTTCAGTCAGCTCAGCGATTGGCTAACCTTCCACATGAGAATTTCATGCCTACTGGGGTGACTGATGCCAGATTAAAATGTAGGATTACAGAGCACTAATCCACCAGTGGTCCATAGTTTCATAGAACTTAAAATTATACCAACAGTTTATATTCTCTGTATATCTGACAATGAAAGTTTTACAATATTATTCCTTTGTGAAGAACTACACCTCTATAAATGGAAGTGTTAAGATTGTGAAGGTATGGCTGGAAACTCGATATTGTTTCCATAATACCCTCTGCCGGTTGACTCCCCCTGTTTGGAGCAATTTAACACTTCGAAAATAGGACGCCATGTATGGTTGATGTGATTAAGGACACTAAATGTTTTGTTGTAGCATATTTTAGGTGTGTAGATTGTCTCTGGTGAAACTTTCCCAAGGTAAATGACGTTTGGCAACTGTGGCAGACTTTGGCCCATCTATAGATTCATTATGTCAGAATACTTTCAAAGTCAGTGTTCTACTTCAGGGATAATTTTCTTTCTGATTGGATAGAAAAAGAGATTATGGAAATATGGAACTGTATCTGTTGGATGTTTCCATTATGAAATGTATGTCAAAGGCAAAGCCACTAACTACACTCTACACCTCAAAATATATAAACCAGATATGTTATATGTTCGTATGGGGTTAGGTAGTGTAGTTGGTTGAGGCACTGTGCTACAAGCCAAAATGTTGCAGGATCAATTCCTGATGAGGTCATTGGATTTCTTCAATTTATCTAATCCTTCCAGCCACGATGTGGCCCTGGAGTTGACTCAGCCTTTTAACCTTTAAGAGCCTAGCAACACCGTATGGAGACCTTTAAAGTGTAGGCAAGTGGCCATGCAACATTGTATGGGTACGCGCAGTCCACGCATGCACACAGTGTTTTAAAATCTAATTTTAAGATAGAAATTCTGGTTCTACTTACATTATTTTTGGGCACCCGCTTTATAAGTAGACTGTCTTCCCTCGTGCATCATCTAACTGAATGTTGCATGTAACTGAATGCAGAGTCTGACGTCGCAATTCATGCATTTTGTCTGGATGTAACTCCGTTTCCCACGCAAAGAGCGCACACGATACCTCAGTCTCGTATTAGAGGAAGTCGACCTGTGATGTCGAGTGGCCTCCTCTAATCATAAGCTTATAAAACATCGCAATTTCAACTATCCGCCATGGCCTCATTTCGCATGGAAGAAGCTGAAATTGAGAGGGCGCTGATAAATGACACCGATTCAGACTGCGGTACAAACAACTCTGAAAGTGGCGAGGAAGCAAGGGGGAAATGGGGGGCTATTCCGAGAACAATACTTCTATGTGGCTAGTCCGAGATATACACAGAGTTTCTGAAGGACAAAGTACAATAAGACTTTGACCACACTCATGCATACAGAAAGGTTCCGCCGTGACTGGAGAATGTGCAATACAAACATAAACTTCCACCCCTTTTGCCAGATAAGACATAGAAAGACGCATATTTGTGGACAGACGCTCGAAATTGGGAAAAATTTTTTTTGGAATCAGTGTAACAATTTTTACATATTTTAAAATCTATAAATTACAGTATCTGATTCTATATTCTTTCTAGATAAAAGCAGCATTTATTTCGTTCGTTTATCACAAAATTGTAGAAATCACAGCATTTTCAGTAACATGCTTACAATTTTTAATACTCTACAATGGCGGGAATTTAAATTAACTCCGGCCTGCTGCCATTACCGGAATTTAAATGGCCCATCTCTTAAAGGTTAACAGAAATATGTACCAGGAATCTTCCTGAGGGTAAAGGGTGGCTGGCACATAAGGCTGATAGCCTCACTGCCATCTTTGAGCTGATTGTCTAGAATATGTGGGAACCCCAATGTCTCAAAACCCTATGGGCCTCCACAGCGTGTTACTATTACCTTTTTATTGGGTTAACTAATGAAAACCTTACAATTAATGCTTAGAAAATATATCAGTACTGTATGCTTATGAGAGCCAGGATATCTGAATCAGCATAGAAACTAGGCTGCAGGTTTGATGATCAAGGAATGACATACAGTTCACTTGCTGGCAGGGGCAAGAATTTCTCTCCTCCCCATTCTCTACATGCACTCTGGAGCTCAAGCAGCCTCCTGGCAACGAGTATTGGGTCCTCTTTGCCAGTGCATAAAGCTGACCACTCACCTTCATCTGGGGCCAAAGTTAGTGTATGGAGTTAAACCTCCTTTCTCCATGTCTTCACTATATTGTACTTAATTAAGCACAGGGATAACTCTATTTATTTCTTGCTCTATGGTTCTGTGTGTTTCTAGATACACCCCACTGTTAATATCTGTTCTTAAAATCATGGAATTGGGTTGATATTATCACATGATGGAGTGACTGTAGATTGGGTTTAATTGGTAATTTGAATTATTGAACTCTTACAGATCCATGACTACAAATAATTTTAACCATTTCACCAATTCTCACGCTTGGGCACACACTTGAGTCTTTTCAGCGTGCTGTGTCTTCATCAGTCTTCTGGTAACAGCTTCCAATGGTGGATGTTCCTCTTCCTGTGGTTTCCCAAACTGTTCGAGCCTCAGCTACAGCAACTCTCGACTTACTAATTAACTGAATCTAGACTTATCCTGCTTATAACATCTTGGCACAGACTGTGTAGAAAACACCGCTTCCCATTTTTATTGTATCCATTTGTTGCTGTGGAAACATGCTTGTTACTCAGTAACGGCTCTCTCTGCTGGCTTCAGAGTTCTTGCCTTGAGCAAATATACCACACTGCTCCCTCCTTAAGGCTATTCATCCCAACTAGCCTAGAGGCATATGACATTAATTCTTTTCCAAGGGTTCCATTTGTGGCAGCTGGGTTTGGTCTCGCCTTCATTCCCTGTGGCTCAGTTTACCTTCATTACCTGTTTTTTTTTCCCCCCCACAGATTATAGGACACAAGTTGCCATATGACTCATTGCATGAGATAAGACATCGCTTAGAAGAGGTTTCTCCCAATCTTACACGTTATGGAGAGGTCGAAGAAGCAAATTACTTCAAACAAGCTACAGATCTGTCTCAAGTAGGTACCACATGCTTAACATCATCTGAAACATAGTTACATTAGTTTTGTTCTGTTAGGAAATTAATGAAGAAAGTAATAAGATACGTATGGTACTTCAAAACAGTGCCACATATCTGTAATGAATTTGTCCTGTCCTAAACTTCTGCATAGATTTACTGCATTTAACAGAAATGAGTACCAGGAATTAAATAAATAATTTTCCTGTGGAGTAAAGCATGGCTGGCGCGTAAGGCTGACAACCTTAGAGCCATCTTTGAGCCGACTGTCTAGATAATGTGGGACCCTCAATGTCTCACAACCCTATAGGCCTTCACGGCCTGGCACAGGGATAGCTTTACTTTTTTTCTCTCTCTTCCCCCCCCCCCTTCCACATAAATTGGGGGTTATATCAAACTGATAGGATTCAGAATTGAATTCACATGTTATCTTATTGCGGACCCTTCAGTGTGAGATTTTAGTGAGATCCATTCAGTAGTTCCTTTAGGTGAAAAATGACAGACGGAGGGATGTGGCTTTAATTTTGCCCTTTGTGCAAAGAATACATAAAACCTGAAAATCGTCATTTTTTGCATTGATAGTATAATTCATAAAATTTGTAGATTCATGTGGAATTGGGTGTTATATTGTTTGCTATTATGTTACAGAATGTGACTCAACAGCTGTCTCAAAGCCCTCTCAGTGTAAAGCAAAAGGAACTGGAGGATTTCTTCATGACAGACACCATCAGTCGTGCATCACCCACTATGGCAAAGTGTATTCAAGCAGCTCTTAAACAAAAACAGTCCAAGTATTAGATTCACAATTTAGGTTAAATGGAATTAAGTCTTGTCACATTGCTTTTAAAGCTTCAAGTACGTAGAGCACAGATTCTATACTTAGGCAAAATAAAGGCCTTCTTTTATAGAACAGATTATAACTATCAATGCAAGGTTATTTAACCCTGTATTGAATTATAACCAAAATTTGAAGTGTAAATAGTTGATTAATTTATTTAATTTATGGCTCCTTTATTTTGCTGAGATAACAGTTGGCTTGTTGAGAATATCGTTATGTTTACTTACAAGTTAACTTATTAGGTTTCATTTAATGCCAGACTATGTACTCTTCATTTTGGTAAATGTTCGACACAGGGTTCTGGTTGTTCTAAAGCTCTAAATTTATCAGGAATTTTCTTATATTACTTTTCACAAACAGAATATGGCTACAGGTTCCAGAAACATATTACAATCTTTCAGTATTGAGATTTAAATTTAATAGTTAGCCATTTATCAGCTGTTTTCTTCAGCAGATAAATATACTTACAAGAGAAGTAAATGAAACACAGAACACATGATATATGCAGTTAAACTGCAGAAATCATATTACATACTAGATGAGTCTGGTGTAAGGTTTGTGAGTCACATAATGTGTGTGCGTGTGTATGCGTACATGAACATGCATTTGTACATTTCATGCTCTGTATATAGCTGCTGTACCATCTATATAAGAAGTAAAAATTATGAGATTGGTAATTAATGTGATCAAAGCTGAAGTTCAAGAATTTTGGTGTACCAAACATGTTGGACTAGATGCTGAGGTATAAACAGGAACCTCTTCCAGTTGTAAGCCTGAAGAGAAGGCTCTTAGAGAGGTGAACATGAAGATTATATATAGTCTTCTGTGGCAAGACACCATGTATTCTGGTAGATGAACGTTTCAGAGGAACATGGTGCCTCTGTTATTGGTAACAATCTACCTGCCTACATAGCCTCACATTCCAGAAGACTGTAATCTTCAAGAGAAAAATAGTTTTGAGATTGACGTGTGTAGAAGGATAATATTAAAATAAATGAGAAACACAGGATATGAAAATGTGAACTGGATTAAACTGGCTTAAATTAAGGTCCTTTAACCTTTATCCTACGGCCCTTTAAATTCCAGTTGTGGCAGCCATACGGAATTCTTTAAAGGGCCGCTCTTAGAAATCCGTAAAAGCTGTAGTCACTTACTAAATTTGCTCCTATTTCTGCAATTTCTGTGATAAACAAACGAAATAAACGCTGTTTTTTTCTCGAAAGAATATAGAATCAGATATTGTAATTTACAGATTGTATAAAACATGTTAAGATTTTTGCACTGGCTCCAAATAAGAAATTCCACATTTTTGTTAATTTTTCTAGAAGAATTCATAGGTTCTCGGAACGGTTGAATGCATGACCACTTGTGCAACTCGGCAACACTGCTCAAGCTGTGTCTGAAGAAGTTATCATAGTCTAAGTGACGTCCTCGCATTGGAACGCGGAGACTGGCCGAGTTATATAAACTCAGATTGTTACATCGCTCTCAGCTATACAATATGTTTACTGTTCTTACACAGTTCAAAGCTAGCTTTGTTTAAAATTGCGTGCCCATATCAACAGAGAGATAATAGACCTTCTTTCCTGGAAGTTTTCATTCGGAGAATTTCAAACTTTGATCGTCGTGTCGTGTGGAATGTTCTAGCATATTTCAAGCCATCAGCGACTAGGTACAGATTGCTGTACCGACAATTCTGAGAGTGATGTTGAAGGTAGCGAATCAGAAAGTTATTTCGAACGAGACCCATCATTTACTCGGCAACCTGGGGACCACCAGACCAGCGTGGCACGAGGAGTGTGAATAATCATTCAGGTGGAGCTGTGGGCAAACTGTGGCAAACAGTTATAGCATCTGTCGTCGAACCTGGAAATGGACAAATAAGCTATTTTTCCATCTCCTTGATCTGTTACATTCTG